AAACATTGTAGCGGAATGAATTATGTTCCCCCCAAACTCCCTGAAGCTTGAATTGTGTCCCCCAAGCTTTATGTATTAGAAACTTAGCCCCCACTGTGACTGTTAAGAGGGTGGGAAATCCTATTATGGTAATTGAAAGGTGGAGCCTTGAAGAGGTGATTGGATTGTATAGGACCATGCAGTAGTGACTAGATTAAAAATGGTGGTCAGGGGCGTGGTTCTGAGGGCTTTAAAAGAAGAGGAGAGTCTGTCTTTCTCTGTCTCTGCTTCCACAGTCTTGCAATGTGAGACCCCTAGGTCATTGTCACCACCCCCAGATGGACTTTGGGCTTCTCAGCCTCAGAAACTGTAAGCAATAAATTTTGTTTTTCTTTCTAATTACCCAGTTCCGTGTATTTTGTTATAAGCAACACAAAACGGACTGATACACTCAGATATAACCTTTAGCCCTAAATACTATGGCATGCTTCTCCTAAGAGTAAGATTATTCTCTTACATAACTGCATTATTATTAACATACCTAAGAAAAAGAATATGATTCCATAATAACATCTAAAATGCAGTCCAGGGGCCGGCCCGGTGGCGCACTGGATAGTGCGCCGCTTGGGAAGCGTGGCGGCGCTCCTGCCCGAGGGTTCGGATCCCACATACAGACCGGTTCCCGCTCACTGGCTGAGCGAGGGGCGGGAGCAACACCGAGGGTTGCGATCCCGTTGCCGGTCCCTGGTCCGGTACGGGGGCAACACTGAGGGTGGCGATCCGTTGCCGGACACGGAAAAAGACAAAAAAAAAAAAAAAGCAGGCCCTATTCAGATTTTTCCAGTTGCCCCAAGAATGGGTCATATAGCTTTTTTTTTTTAAAAAAAAAAAGCTATATGACCCATTCTTGGGGCAACTGGAAAAATCTGAATAGGGGCGGCATTTTTTTTTTTTTTTCCGTGTCCGGCAACGGATCGCAACCCCCAGTGTGGCCCCCGCACCGGGCCCGGGCCCGGTGCGGGGGCCACACTGGGGGTTGCGATCCGTTGCCGGACACGGAAAAAGACAAAAAAAAAAAAAAAAATGCAGTCCATATTCAGATTTTTCCAGTTGCCACAAGAATGTGTCATATAGCTATTTCATTTCAAATCAGAATAACATAGTCACATTGCATTTGGTTTTGTGTCTCTTTAGTTTCTTTTAATGTAAAACAGTTTCTCCACTTTTTTTTTTAGTTGACATTGACCTTTGAAGGAGTCAAGAACAGTGCTTTAGAATTTTCCACAAAATTGCCCTGTGTATTTTCTCTAACTTGGAATGAGGTTTAGAGACTTGATTAAGTATTTTTGGCAAGAATACCACAAGGTGATGTCGCCTACATACTGCATCCATCAGGAGGCATATATTGTCAGATTATTGCACACTGAATAGTGCTTTTTGTTCACTTGGTTAAGGTAATGACTGCCAAATCTCTCCTATGTAGAGATATTTTTCCTTTTGCAATTAGTAATTTGTGAGGACAATAAACTCGAGCACCATGTGAAGAATCTATTCCTTTATAGCCTAATGTTTTAGCAACCATCAATAATCCTTCGGGCTTGGGGTCGGCCTGTGGCTCACTCAGGAGAGTGTGGTGCTGATAACACCAAGGCCACGGGTTCGGATCCCATATAGGGATGGCCAGTTAGCTCACTGGGTGAGCGTGGTGCTGACAACACCAAGTGTTAACCAAGGGTTAAGATCCCCTTACCGGTCATCTTTAAAAAAAAAAAAAAAAAAAAAATCCCTCGGGCAAATTCTTAACCTGAGACTCAGTTTCTTCATCTGTAGTTTGGGGATGATAATGCCTGTCTTTTGGAATTGCTGTGTAATGACACTTAAAAATATGATATAAGATAGTACATATGAAAATGCTGTCATGGCCTGCCACAATCTCTCCCTTCTTCTGAGAACACCATCCCCTTTCCTTTAGGAAAATTCTCCTTACCTTGCTCCAGATTTTTGGTCCAAATAGCTGCCTTCTTAGATGACTCTGCCTGCCTGGCCACTGTGGGATACAGCTGATTTGGGCTGAGCTGGTCATTATACCCCAACTCCTTTGGCCAGGGTCTGGAATGAGCATGTGACCCCAGCTGGGCCAATCAGAATACTAACTGGGAAATTTTGGACTAAGAAGGGGCGTTGGAAACATTCTTTTTCCCCAGTATGGCTAAATGTGAGGATGTGAGGTTTGACGTTGTTGGTGACTATTACCCCTGCCACCTGGAGAATGAAAGTGTTTGGGGGTTGGGGAGATCAAAGCTATCTCTTGAGATCAGGGAGGAGAGGAGTGCAGGGACCTCCTGGCCAGGCTCCAGTCCTCTCAGCCTACCTCTTGCCCAGCCCCAGCTAAGACAATAAAGGCCCCTTCTTGCCTAAGCGCTTACAGATAGGTCTCAGAACCCTATGGCAAATAGAGTGCTGAATAGGCCAAGGGCCTGTCACGTGCTTCTGCCATGATAGATGATTCTGTAAATTAGCCATCCATCCACTCTCATTGCTTCATGTGTTCTTTGCATACGTAGTGGCTATTGGAGAGGTGTAAGGAAGTGCCAACCATGGTCCTGGCTTTTTAAAATCTTATGTGTTATTAATGCATTTCCTCCGCAAGCACAGAATCAGAATAATGGGGACCGGTGACTTATCCAGCTCAAAGTGTGGCTGCTCTTGCCACGAGAACCAGCCTCCCACCTCCACCCCAGGGTTGGAAGCCAGTCCTGTCTCCAACTACTTTGCCCGCTACTTTGAAGTCTTCCCCAGTGTAAACCCAGCTGGTGGAAGGAATATCAATGGAGCTGAGGAGAGAGTCAGACAACCATATGGGAGGGTAGAGAAGGGGGAGAGGAAAGTGAGAGTAGGGAGGCCTGTAGGGGATTAGAAGGCATGAGGGTGGTGAGCAGGGTCTTGGGGAGAGGGAGTGAGCTGGCAGTGTCTTGGGGAGTCAGACTCAGGGCTTCTTCCTAGCTCTAGAGCGCAGCTGCTGTTTATTTAGCACTATCCAGGAGCAGGATCTTTTCCAGGAATATCATGGGACCCTTTCAGCAAGTCAACAGGAAGAGTTACTATTAACATTCCCTTCTACAGATGAGAAAACTGAGACCCAGGAAGGAGTAACTTATGCAAAGTCACCCTGCTGGTAATGGCAGAGCTGGAATTCGAATTCAGATCCGGCGGATTCCCGATTACTCCGACCCCACCCGTTTGTGAGCGAGGACAGTACCTCCAGCAAACGCCAAAGCCAGGTTATCCGACTCACGGGCCAGGTGAACGGCGGGTGGGCGGCGGGGGTCGGCCGGTAGGGAGGACCACACCTCTGCAGGGCTCGGAGTTTGTCGCCCAGTGACCCGGGCTGAGTGGGCTCTGCGGGAGACGGGGCAGCCCCTCTGCAGGGGCCTCCGGGGCCAACGGAAGCTCTAGGGCCGGAGGGGCTCCCGCGTCCCGCCCAGAGGGAAGCCCTGCCCCGGGGACGGGAGACCCTGACGGTGGGTGCCCCAGGTGGAGGAAGGGCGAGACCTCCAGCGGGGGGCGAGCGAGGCAGCGCGCAGGTTGGGAGCGGGGAGGCGGGAGGGCATGAAGTCCTTTCCACCCCAGCCCCCCAAGGGCGAACCTCACCTGACGGACCGTGGGGACGCGCGGGGCGGGGTCTGGGGGCGGATGGCCAGGTTATCTTGGGATCTGGATAATGTCCCTGTTGCTTTGGGGACGCGGAAGGGCGGAGTCCTGGCATTCAGAGGAAGGGGCAGGAGGGTTGTCAGCAGGAAAGAACCTCTGCCCACCCCTCGGTCACTGTGCAGCCCAAGTTGCCACAAATTACTGCCGGGAACGGTGAGGAGTAAGCGCTCCGTGCGGCTCAGTCGCTTCCCTCCCTCTCTTCCCCATTACAAGCCAGGTGTACTTTAGGTCGCCTGAGGTGCTCAGGGACTGGGAGGTGACGGGGCTGCAGCTCGGGATTGAGGAACTTCCGACCAAGCCAGTGGTCCTCAGCTGCTGGTCCAGGCTCCGCAGAGAACACATCTCTTCTATTCTCTGGAGTTATAGGTCCTTTAAAAAAAATAGTAGTACAAAACAAGTCAGTGACAGTAGATAGGAGCTGCTTGTGTTTTGTTTTGAATGTCCTTGGCAAAATAAAACGTTGGTAATTCTGTGTTCTCCTCCCCTCTCCCCTCCCGCCTATTCTTTCTTTCTCACACGTGCACATACCTATTGGAAACAATTCTCGGGCCCCCCAAAATTCCAGATTTGGGAATCACTGAACTGAACTGCTGGCCATTGGTGGCTGGTGAAGTGGGTCAGGCAGCGATGCAGGATTCTGGCGCCTGCAGGCACTGACTGACTGCGGAATCTTCCATCAGTCTCTTCACTCTCTCTGGCTCTCCTTTTCTTAATCAGTACAAAGGTATCTACAAATCCCTTTCTGTATTAAAATGTCTGGCCTATATCAGTCTGTATCTTAAATTGCATATCGTTGGAAGCACAGTTGTCCAGTACTAGCACTAAGGACTGTTTCATGCAGGGCCCTGGCCTAGTGCCCCAGGAAGGGAGGACAAGGTCCCCATCACTGGAGAGTGGTCAGGCCAGGAGGGGTGGGGTGTCAGGCAGGGGGTAGTGCCTTGGAATATGCCTGGCCCTGAAGGAACCCCAGGCTGGGGAGAGGAAAGCACTGTGCCGTGTGACGTGTTTATGTGTCTTTTCCCTCAGTAGTTACCAAGAGCCTCCGAGTTCCTGTCTTTTTTCATCCCTGAATCCCCACCATTGGCTTACACTGAGCATGGGGCGACCAGTAAGTGCACAGTTAATTTTTGTTGAAGGAATGGATAATGGCTAGTGGCTGGGAGGGCTGTGTGGAGTGGACGGGACCAAGCTGCACTTTTCAGAGGAGATGAGATTTGAAAGGCTTAGAGGAGCAGAGAGGGCACCCCTGGGGAAGGAACCCAGGTATTGAGGCTGGAGGTGCTTGGGGATGGCAGTGGTGTTCCAGGTGCGGAGGGAGTCATGGTGGGCATGGGGACAGGAAGGATGGATGAGATAAAAGTATGGGGGGAAGGGAGAAACCAGCAAAAGCTCAAGGCTAGAGTTTGGTTGAGCAAGAGAATGATAGAAATAGGAAAGAAATAGAAATGTCCAGTGTACTCCATCCCATACAGAGAACAGGGGTCAAGAGGGAGCCATGACTCCTTCCTGTTGAGTTTTAGAGCTAGAAGGACTCCTCAGTGCTTTCTGGTCCAAATGACTTCATCATTTTAGAGCAAAGGAAACTAAGGCCCTGAGGTTGAGGTGACTCATCAGTATGGCCTGGACAGTGGATGGAAGATCCAAAGGGGAGATAGAGAGAGTGAAGCATACAATTTTTCAGGTGGGAAGAATAGAAACCAGTGAAGGACAGAAAGGAGGAGAAAGTACATTAGAACATCTCCAAGTCATTCTGACAGTATTTAAGAGGAACACTTGTTTACCTATTTATAAGCAGCATATTTTGGTGTGTGGGGAGGAGGATACAGAAGAGGACCGACACCTCTGCCCTCTGCCATTGGGCTTGTTTGGCTATAGTGATTGGCAGTTCTCAAAGATGCCCCCTCCCTCTGGCTGCAGAAGGTGTCCACATGGGGACTGTGGAGAGGCCCCAGTGCCTGGCACTGAGTGTGGGTGTTTGCACAGGGTATGGCAAAGAGGGGAGAGAAGCACTTTCACTCTGATGGCCTTGTCTTTGGCAGTCACCATGCATAGCTGGAAAACCCTGGTGCTGCCAAGCACAGCCCTGCTTAGGCAGGAGTCTCCTGCCTGGCTTTGGGTGTGACTTGTAAAGAAGGACTGCTTGCTGTCTTGGGGTGCCTCTTACTTCCCTTGTCATATCTTTTTTTCACCTCCTGATGACCATATTCTGCACTGCCAGGCAGCTAGATTTGTCACCATGCCACCTGGAGGCCTCCCAACCAGGTCTGTCCTCCCTGCAGCAGGCCTGGCTTCCAGCCACTTTCTCTCCTTCCCCTGCTCCTCCCTCCCCATCACAGGGCAACTCTCATTTGTCAGGGCTGCCAAGCTCAGCTAGGAGACACAGAGTAAAGCAGACTAGTTGAATAAATTTGTCCTGAAGTGAATGGCTACTAGCCCATTCTGCCACAGGGATATTTGAATTTTAAAATTCCTCCCTCTGCCCCCGCCTCCACCCTTAACTTAACCAAGCACCTGAGCGCAGAGCACTGTTTGATATTTCCATATGCATTAGCTCATTTGGTTCTCCCATTGGCCTGTTGGGGGAGGTATTCTATACCCTATTTTCCAAATGGGGAAACGAAGGTCCTGAGGGTTTGAGCAAATTCCCCAAGAATACATGGCTAAGAAATGCTAAAGCTGGGACAACAGTCTAGGGCTCCTAAAGCCAAGACCAGCCAGCACTTATCTTCCACATCGCAGCTGCTCATTCAGAAGAAGACAGCTTTAATGACCAGTGGTGGTGAATAAGATCAGTTTGGGTGAGGGACTCTGTGTAAGAGGGATCCTAAGCTGAGGGCCTTGACCTCTAGTCCTAGTGGGTACTTAGGACTTCAGGAGGCTCTATGAAATACTGGAACTATTTGTAAAACTTTCTGTGTGCATATGGTCTGCTCATTTTTCAGCAGAGGGCTTCTCTTGGCCAGGTGGGACTCCTCCTCATCTAAATTCTGGGTTTCTGTGGTCAGAAGGCCAGTCACTGAGTAAGGGTACTTAAGACTCTGGTCTTACTGTCTCCCCCTGGTCCTCATTCTGAAATCCCAAAAGGCAAACAGCTGTCTGCAAGCGAGGCTGGTGGAGATGTTCTTCTGATGGCTGGTGGGGTGGGTATTTATAGAATTGAAAGATTAGAACTTTAGAGCTGGAAGTGGCCTTGGGAATGGCTCAGTCCAACCTTCTCATTTTACCAGAGGAGGAAACTGGGCCTCAGAGAGGGAACCCAACATGCCCAAGATCACCCAGTGAGTTAGCAGCAGAAAATTTTTTATGCATTTTCAGCTCTCCTGCAGAGGTCTGTAAGCTGTAAAGCTAAGCAAGGCAAAGAAATCAACATATACTGAGCTTCATTTATGTGCCACGCACAGTGCCAGCACTTCTGCAGGCATGATCTCCTTTGCCCTATTCCATAGGAGGATTTGGAGTGGATATCTCATCTTTGCCATCACTTTTCCCTTACACAGGCAATGCTGACTTTAGAGGACAAGGACATGAAGGGACTCACCTGGGCCATAGCCCCGGCCTTGACCTCCCTGGGCTACCTGCTCATTCTGCTGGTCTCCGTCTTTCCCTTCTGGGTGCGGCTTATGAACGAGGAGTCCCATGAAGTGTTTTTCAGTGGCCTGTTTGAAAACTGCTTCCATATAAAATGCTGGAAGCCTCGACCCTTATCCAGTAAGGAGGGGTAGAGGTGGGGGAGAGGGAGGGGGATCATTGTGGGGACTGGGGGTGACAGTGCAGGGTGGGGGCAGAGAGGACAAAATTTAATAAGCCCATGATGGTATCTTCTCTGAGTCTCCACTTTCTTGAGGTTAGAGGAAAGTAGGACGTTGGGACAGGAATAATAATGGCAGGTTGGCCACTGGAGTAGGAGCAACTATGTCAGCAACAAAGTTGACTTTTCAGCTGCTGGGAGTGCTCCATGGAGAATGAGGCAGGGGATCCTGCTGTACTCTGTGAGGCTGCACCAGCTCTCAGGGCTGCTCTTAGCCAGTACAGACAGCACCCTTTAGGGTGGGCCCACTCCAAGCCAGCAGGGGAAACAGCCTGGTTAGTAAAGCATGGGCTGGATTTTAGCCCACCACTCATCCCCTTGGCCACACACCTATCCAACTGTAGGTGGCAGCTGTGCAGATAATGTACTCAGGCCTGGGTACCACATATTAAAGGGAGTGAGTTCACAGGACTGTGAAGGCACCTGAGACCATGTTTTACAAGGAACTTTTGAATAAGGATGTCTGTCTTGGAAAAGATGTGACCCAGGGAGACTTAGGGGCTACATCCTGGTAACAGGAGAAGCTGTCTTGGGGAAGATGGGCCAGAGCTCTTTGATCCAAGGTTCCTTAATCTTGGTAGTATTGACATCTTGGGCTGGATAATATTTGTTATGGGGGCTCTTGTTTCTTGCAGCATGGTTAATAGCATTCTTGTCCTCTTCTACTCACTAAATGCCTGTAACAACACTCCCCCTTAGTTGTGACAACCAAAATTGTAAAATATTTGAAGGGCAAAATTGCTCCCAGTTGAGAACCACTGGTTTAGCCCAAGGGTAGATTCTGGAGTATCTGCGTCTTCTGCAGTGCCTTTGCCTCTTTGTCCCACAACCAGCTGCATGCTCAGAAGGATATGCAAACTAACTTTCACATGAGTCTGAATCATGCCAACAGTAAGATAATAAACCACCCTTTAACTGGACTCTGAATCTGCTATTTTTGGTTTGTTTTACTACTATTAATGAGGAAAAATAAATAAAGGTGTGTGGGTTCCTGTAGAGTTTAGAACATCTTGACCTCAAGAAGTTCTGATTTTCTTGGCGTGAGTTATTTCAGCGTAACCAAAGCAGATGCGATTCTTCACATTTGCGTGTGCAACAAATTTTATCATGAGAGTTTGATTTTATGTTGTTTATTAAAACCACCATTTTTTCCAAATAGATGGTACATGGTTTCCCCACATGATTTGATACAACCAGATTCACATAATATTTGTTAAGAACTGGCAAGTGATTCAATGTCTGACATTGTCAATCTAATTTTTTTTTCGTATACTTCTGTGTCATTGGGAACAAAATGGTGAGGCCAAAGCATTCCTGGGGGCGAAGTGGCAGGGTCCTAACCTTGGTCTAAGGCCATGCTTTGGGACCTGAGCATGGCAGAGGCTCTGGAGACCCATCTCTGCCCAGGCCCTGCGGGGCTCTGCCCTTTGTGGGTCAGGGTCCCTGGCTCCAGCCCCAGCTTTCCCTCTGATGCAGTTTACATCCTCCTCGGCCGGATGTTCCTGCTCTCGGCAGTTGTCTTGGCTTTCCTCACCACCTTCGTCATGGTGTCCTTTGCATCCGAGCTCCTCCCGAGGATCCGCAAGCACAATTTTGTGTCAGCCTTCATCAGCTTCCTCACAGGTGTGGAACAGCTGGACAGTCCCTATCCTTTGCTAGGGCCTGGGGAGGAGTCCAAGGGAAGGGGGGCAGTTGGTCTCTGTGATGTCAAGACAGGCATAATTTCTAAGGCCTCTTCTCTGTTGCCTTCTCTATAGATAACCCACTCCTACCCCTGCCCTCTCAGAATTTATCATCCTTCTTCTTTGGGGCTCTCAACACACTATATTTTCAGCTCGCCAGCCCTGACCGTGTTGGCTTGCGGTCATTTGCCTGGGAGTTCTTTTTTTTTTATCATAACCTATTTATCCCAGTGATTGTCATAGAATCTGGCAGAATTGTAATTGAAATAAGTAATAAAAATGAAATATAAATGTTTCTTTAATGAATGAATGGAAGAAACTATCTCTGCCCTTTGGAGCCTTTTGACATTTTAAAAGGGTGACCAAGGCACCACCCTGGGAGGCTCCCAGGCAAATGGAGCAGATAGAACACATACAGTGGGAAAATCGGGGTGAGTTCCATCCAAAATGTCATACCCAGAGGACCCAACCTGAGGTGAGCCAAGGGCACAAATGCAGAGGAAAGGGTTTCAGATGATGGGGCCCCTGGGAGGTGAGGCACATGGGCTTTGAGATGGATTGGGAAGGAGGGAGAGACAGGGTTGGGGGCTGTTGGCTCAGAGAGGGCAAGGTATGCAGGCAGGATAAAAGAGCCTCCGGCAGGAGCTACATGGGGCAGGCCCCTTGGCTTTGTTTGAATAAGTCTGAGGAAGACTGGAGGGAAGGAAGGGAGCATGGGAGGAGAGCGAGGGTGCCTCCCTGTGACTCTGCAGGGGCCTGTGCCTTCCTGGCCTTGTTGCTGCATGCCCTGGAGATCCAGGATCTGAGGATGAAGCCCAGCCCCCCACAGTTCTCCGTGCAGTGGCCTTACTACGTCCTGGGCTTTGGCATTCTTCTGTTCATAGTGGCTGGTGAGTGTCGTGGGGCTGGTTTCCCTCTCCCTGCCCTCTGTCTGGATTTAGGAGCCTCTCTAATGAGGTTCTCTCTATGGATTATCTAGAGCTGTGCTGTTCCAAACCGAAGCCAGTAGCTACACGCGGCTATTTAACTTTAATAAATAAAAATGTAACGAAGTTAAAAATTCAGTTTTTCTCAACAACCACATGTATCTAGTGGCTATCATATTGGAGAGTGCAGATAGAGACATTTCCATCTTTGTAGAGAGTCTTCCTGGATAACACAGCTCTGGAGCCTCAACCCTACCCCCATCCTTGGCCTTCCTGTTCTTATCCTTCTTGACTTTAGAACCAAACTCTTCCAGGTTTTCATACTCTCCTTTATACCATCCTGGTTTCTAAGGCTACTTATTCCTATCTCTGTCTTCATGTTGAAATCTGCAATCTTGTTCCTCACCCTACCGCCTTTATCTTTAAACACCATCACCATCTAGATTCTTAATTCTATGTAATTTTGTCCCTTCTCTGGTCCTCTCCTTGCTATATTAACCTGATCCATGAATATATTCTAACTCAATTTTATTATACATTGAACATATAAAAAGAATTTTTATAATATATCTAAAAGATACAAATAATCAAGAATAATTAAACAAACACCCAGATTTCCACAATATAGTTTAAGAACTAGTCATATTTTATCAAACCCATTGTTTGTGAGTTACACCATTATTTTACACTACTGAGAAAGAAAAATTGATGTCAAGTATAATTCTAAGATGCTTTAGCTTGTAAGACACATCCTTATTTCAGAGATGTTAAAATGTGTGGAAAAAAACTGGCTTCTCAAAATTAATGAAATGTGGTAGAACATAACCAGTATCTTTGAACCACCCCAAACTCCCCATGGCTCTTCCTGATCTCATTCTCTTCTGTCCCCTCCAGAACCAATTATTGTGAAATTTATGCTAATCATATTTACTACACATGCATATATTCTTAAACAACATAATATTTAGTTTTTCATGCTTGAAACTTTATATAAATGTAATTAAACTGCATTTATTCTTCTGGAACTTGTTATGTTGATCAACATTATATTCCTGAGATTCCTCTACATTAATAAGAGTAACTGAGGTTCATTCTGCCTTAAGGTTTTTACTGCCTTAAGTATTTAAGAGTGTAAATATTCTACAATAAATCTATTTTCCTGCCCATGGACATTGGGTGGTTTCCAGTTTTTTTCCTATTACTAATGACATTGCTATGAATGTTCTTGTTACATATATCCTATTGCATTTGTGCGGGATGCTCTCTAAGATATATGTCTAGGACTGGTATTGCTGAACTGAGGTTATATATATTTTCAGGCTTTCCAGAATGTGCCAAATAGATTTCCCAAGAGATTAGAACAATTTGTACTCCTTCTGGCAGGGCTAAATAATTCCTGTAGTTCCACCTCCTTGTTGACACTTGAAATTGCCAGACTTTTTAACTTTTGTCAATTTAATTGGTATAAGATGGTATCTTATGCTATTAGTTTGTATTTCCTTGATTATTAATCAGGTTGAACAACTTTCTATATGCTTTATTGGTCATTTGTGTTTCCTCCTCCAAATAGTTCCTATTTAGTATTTTGCCTATTCTTTCATTCTTTTCAAATAGATTTGTAGGAGGTCTTTTTTTTTTTAGATACTAATGCTTTATTAGTACTGGTGTTACAAATATTTTCTCCCAGTTTATGACTTGGTTTTTTTACTTCTTTTATGGGGTCTTTTAAGGAACAGAAATTGCTAATTTTACCATAGTTTAATTTATTGACATTTTCCTTTAAACGGTTTATATCTTTTGAGTATTACTTAAGAAATTTTTCCTTGGTGAGGTCTTAAAGATATTTCCTTATATTATCTTCTAAACTTTTGTTGTTTGCCTTCTACAAGGGTACTTCAAAAAGTTCATGGAAAGATTCATATTATCTTTTAATTCTACTTTTTTACAAACTTTTTTGAAGTTATGCATAACTCTTTAATCCATCTTGAATTGAGTTATGGTGTGAGGTAGGGATCACTTTCATTTTGCCTTTCAAATGAATATCCAGTTGTCATAGTACCATTTATTGACTAGTCCGTCCTTCCTGCACTGATCTTTAGTGCCATTTCTGTCATTAATCAAATTTCATATTCCAGTAATCTGTCTATTTTAGTGTGTAAACCACACTTTCATAGTTACTGTAGCTTTATAGTATCTTGATATTATATGTCTTGATATCTGGTAGGAAAAATCCTCCCACTTGTTCTTATTTAAAATTATCTTAGTTATTCTTGGCCTTTTTTCCTGACTATATACATTTTAGAATAAGCTTATGACATTTCACAGAAAGAAAATCTGTTGAAATTTGTTTGGAATTTTAGCAAATGTGTGTTCAATTTAGGGAGCACTGACTCTTTTTTTAAAAAATAATATGATGTTTACACATATTTTGGGTAGGCAATCTTTATCATATTAAGAATGCTACTGCCTAGTTCCAGTTTGCAAACAGTTTTATTTTCTTTTTAATCATGAATGGATGTAAAATTTTATTGGATGCTTTCCCTCCCATATATTGAGATAATTAGTTTTTCTCCTTTAACCTGTTAATATGGCAGATAACATTATTCAACTTTCTATATGCTTTATTGGTCATTTGTGTTTCCTCTTCCAAATAGTTCCTATTTAGTATTTTGCCTATTCTTTCATTCTTTTCAAATAGATTTGTAGGAGGTCTTTATTTTTTTTAGATACTAATGCTTTATTAGTACTGGTGTTACAAATATTTTCTCCCAGTTTATGACTTGGTTTTTTTACTTCTTTTATGGGGTCTTTTAAGGAACAGAAATTGCTAATTTTACCATAGTTTAATTTATTGACATTTTCCTTTAAACGGTTTATATCTTTTGAGTATTACTTAAGAAATTTTTCCTTGGTGAGGTCTTAAAGATATTTCCTTATATTATCTTCTAAACTTTTGTTGTTTGCCTTCTACAAGGGTACTTCAAAAAGTTCATGGAAAGATTCATATTATCTTTTAATTCTACTTTTTTACAAACTTTTTTGAAGTTATGCATAACTCTTTAATCCATCTTGAATTGAGTTATGGTGTGAGGTAGGGATCACTTTCATTTTGCCTTTCAAATGAATATCCAGTTGTCATAGTACCATTTATTGACTAGTCCGTCCTTCCTGCACTGATCTTTAGTGCCATTTCTGTCATTAATCAAATTTCATATTCCAGTAATCTGTCTATTTTAGTGTGTAAACCACACTTTCATAGTTACTGTAGCTTTATAGTATCTTGATATTATATGTCTTGATATCTGGTAGGAAAAATCCTCCCACTTGTTCTTATTTAAAATTATCTTAGTTATTCTTGGCCTTTTTTCCTGACTATATACATTTTAGAATAAGCTTATGACATTTCACAGAAAGAAAATCTGTTGAAATTTGTTTGGAATTTTAGCAAATGTGTGTTCAATTTAGGGAGCACTGACTCTTTTTTTAAAAAATAATATGATGTTTACACATATTTTGGGTAGGCAATCTTTATCATATTAAGAATGCTACTGCCTAGTTCCAGTTTGCAAACAGTTTTATTTTCTTTTTAATCATGAATGGATGTAAAATTTTATTGGATGCTTTCCCTCCCATATATTGAGATAATTAGTTTTTCTCCTTTAACCTGTTAATATGGCAGATAACATTATTTCCAAATTTAAGCTTTACATTTCTGGAAAAAACCCAACTTGTCCCTCTTGTATTATCTTTTTTTGTTGTTGTTATTCACCTTTTTTCCTAACATTTTCTAATGACATCGGTCTTTCAGTTTTCTTTCTTGTATGGTCTTTGTCAGCTTTGATACCATAGTTTTACAAGCTTCGTAAAATGAGTTGGGAGTGTGCTGTCTTTTTCTAATCTCTGAATTTATATTTAGAATTATTTTGTTCTGTATATGCTTGCCTCTAAAAGAAGTATGGTGTTTCATGATTCAATTTCTTTAACGATTATACAACTATACAGGTATTTTATTTCTTCTTGAGTAAATTTTGGTAAGTTATATATTTCTAGAAATTTATACATTTTATCTAAGTTTTAAAATTTATTGACATAAAGTTACTAAAAATGTTTTATTTTTAAATTTTTAATTTGTGCTGCATCTGTAGTTATATACTTCTTTTTTCATACTGAATTTTTTCTTTTTTTTGTTACCAGTTTTGTCAGAGGTTTTCCATTTTTTTAATCTTTTCAAAGGACCAGCTATAGTTTTGTTGAAACTTCATGTTTTGTTTCTTCTCTGTTTATTAATTTTTGCTCTTATTCTGAACTTTCCTCCATTGTACTTTTTTGGTGTTTATTCTGCTATTTTTTTCAACTTCTTAAATCAGGATTTAATTATTTATTTTTTTCTAAATAGGCATTTTAAGCTTTAATTTCCCAGTAAGAATTGCTTTATCTACATCTCCCATTTTGATGTGTAATATTTTTGTTACTGTTCTGTTTCACATATTTTCTAGTTTCCTTTATGATTTCTTCTTTGATCCATGAATATTTTAAAGTATACTTTTAAGTTTCCATATATAGAATTTTTATTGTATCTTTGTGTTAGTTATTCTAACTTAGTTCCAATTTGCTGAAAGAACATGATCTATGTAATCTTATATTTTCAAATTTATTGAGACTTGCTTCATAGCCTAGCTTATGTTTTTTTAAATGTTTTTATAAATGTTTCATGTTAAACACAACCTTTTATTATAAACATTAAATTGAGCTTGTTTGTTACGGTGTTTAAATCTTCAGTATCTCATTGATTTAGAATTGTTATATTTTACTAGTAAATTGATCTTTTTTTTTTTTTTTCTCCTTTTTTGTCTTTTTTACTGACCGGTAACGGGATCGCAACCCTCGGTATCGCGCCCGCACCACGCTCAGCCAGTGAGCAGGAACCGGTCTCCACATGGGATCCGAACCCTCAGCGGGAGTGCCGCCGTGCTCCCAAGTGGTGCACTCTCCAGTGTGCCACCGGGCCGGCCCGTAAATTGATCTTTTATCATTATGTAGTGATCCTTTTTATTTCTAGTAATGCTTTTTATCATAAAGGCTATTTTATCTGATGTTACTATAGCTACCTCCACATTTTTTAGGTTACTATTTTTCTATAATATCATTTTAATCTTTTACTTTAAACTTTTCTCTGTCTTCATGTTTTGAATGTCTCTTATAAATAACTTATAACTGGATTTTTTGGATCTAGTCTTACAATCTTTGCCTTTTAACTGGAGCATTTAGTTGATTTATATTTATTGTGACTACTGATATATTTGTATTTTTTCTACCAACTTAATTTGTACTTTCAGTTTTTTCTGCTCTCTGCTCCTCCTCCACCTGGCTATGAATTGACTGAGTTTTATTTACACAATTCTTATTACAATCCCCCCACCCCCACCTTCTCCCATTAGTTTGGAAGTTATATGGTTTATTTTTATTGGTATAATAGTTACTCTTGACCTTAATGTGCTGAACAAGTTGGAAGTTAATCAATATATCTATTCTCTTTATAAATAATGAAAGAACTCCTCTCCCAACTTATATGCTATTTTTTTCTAATGCTTTTGTTTCTTCTTTTTTATTCTGTACATTTGGCATTGCTATTATTATTTTATGTATTTAATATGTGTTTGTTTAAATTTACTCACATATTTACCAATTTATTTGCTCACCATAACTTCTCAGACCTTCTAAGATAATTATCCTTCTGCCTGAAATACATCCTTTGTAATGTTTTTAAATGAGGATCCATTAGAGATACACTCGAATTTTGTTTGTATGAAATTTTCTTCATTTTTGATTATTAAAGTTAGTTTGTTGAACATACATTTTCAGGTTGACAGTTATTTTCTCAGTATTCAAGATATAATTTTTTTATTTTCCCACTTCCATTGTTGCTGTTAAGAAGTTGGCTCTATAAAAGTGTCACTCTTTTTAAAGCAATCTTTCTTTTCTCTCAGATTTTCTTTGGTATTTTGCAGGGTATGAATATTTGTGTTATGATTTGTTGTGTGCACATCACACACACAACAATCTGAGAAGTGGTGTCTTTCAGCATTTCTGGGACATTTTAATCTTCTCCCCATTTTTTCTTTTCCATTTGTAGAACTCTAGTAAGACATCTGTTAGATCTTCTTACTCCATCTTGCAAGTGTCTTCATTTCTCTTGCATATTTTCCATCTCTTTGTCTTTCTGTGCTGCATTTACATGTATCCTCTATTTTACCCGTTCACTTTTTAGCTGTGTCTGATCTGATATGTAACCCACCCATTAAATTTTTGGTTTAATTAATCTATTTTCATCACTAGAAGTGGTATTTTCCCATAAATATTGTAATTTTTTTTTTAAAAGGATGACCGGTAAGGGGATCTCAACCCTTGGCCTGGTGTTGTCAGCACCACGCTCAGCCAGTGAGCTAACCGGCCATCCCTATATAGGATCCGAACCCGTGGCCTTGGTGTTATCAGCACCGCACTCTACCGAGTGAGCCACGGGCTGGCCTAAATATTGTAATTTTTAACACTCTCTTATTCCTTATATTTTTAATATATCCTCTAAATATATTTTTATTAGACCTGTGGAACATACTTATTTTACATTCTGTGTCTCATATGTTTAATAACTGAATTATTTGCAGGTCTGAGTCTGTTTTTTTCTGTTTCTGCAAGCTCTTCCTGTGGTATCTTGTTTCCTGGTATTTTTGTGTGTCTTTTCACTGAATTCATTTTCCTTGAAATTTTATTTGTGGAAAATCTTTGAGACCTGGATTTAAAGTGTTTTCTCCCTAAAGGATTTTCAGTTGCTTCTGCCTAGTGCTTGGATTCAAAACCAGCCTAGGAGTACAAAACAAAACACATAGTATCGTGAATCTAGTTGCAGATGCACATATCAGCCTATGTTCACAAATTCTCAGTCAATACAGGTAACCTAGAGGTTCCAAAATCATATGGCAGATTCTTATTAGATTCCCAATCTTGAGCAGGCCCTGGGCTTTTTCTCCTGTTTTCTGTTCCCTAATGGACAACAGAATGAAAGCTCAGGGTCACCTGGATTGGAAGGTAAAAGCTAATTATGTACATGCTTAACTCTCTAGATTTGTTTTCAGTTTAGATTTGGCTTCTAAGAATATCTCACTTTGATACCAGCTTAGTGATGTACTTAAAAATGTTTTTATTTTTATTAAATATTTTTATATTTTTTTATTTTCTTTGGCTAGCTGGTACAGAGATCAAACCCTGGATCTTAGTGTTATCAGCACCATGCTCTAACCAACTGAGCTAATTGGCCAGCCCCCAAAATAAGTTTTTAAAGAAATATTTTATTTAGAATTTTTGCTGTTTTTAGTGGGAGAATACCTACTCTGCTATAATGCTGAAAATAGAAGTTGTCTTTTATCTTCATCTTAACCTTAATATAGCATTTATTATTCACTCAAGATAGCTCCATTTGTTCTTGTAAACATCAGTCATCTTTTTCCTTTGTTGATCTGGGCATCAGGAGAACTGGATTTTGTGTTGGACCTTCCTCTGTCTAAACCTTGTTTTTCTTACCTATTAATGGGTTAGGCAATTGCTGAGATGTCTTCCAGGCTGGCATGGTTCTGTGATTTTATCCATCTATTTGTATTTCTGTCCTTCAACACATTCTGTTTCCCCTTCTTTATCTGTAGTATTCTAGGTCAGAGGGAAGAACAAGGGAAGGCAGTTCTGGAACCAGAGGGACTCCCATTAGGAGAAGGCGTTATTGACCTTTACGGCATGAAGCTCAACATTCTCTCTGAACTGACCCAAGCTTTTGCTGTTACGTAGGTGTCATCTGCCTCTCTCAAGAAACAGCCTGCCCAAGCTGCCATTTGTTGCCCATTTCCAAGAGTATCGAGGAGGCCCAGGGGATCCCGTACCTGGAGAAGCTGGAGAGTTTTGGAGGAGAACTGAGCTCAATACGAAAGGAGACCCTGCTGAAGGAAGAAACTGTTATCTAGCCCAGGATATTGTCTCTCTGCCCTTCTTTGAGCTGTGTGAGTGCATGCATGTAGGTGTTTGTAGCTCTCCCTTCTCTGCTAGTCTCTGCTGCCTTTGAGGACCTTTTTGAGTGTCAGATCAACCCTCCACTTGCCCATACGCATAGTGATTCTCTCTGGCTTGTATTTGAAATTTGGTAAAAGTTTTTTGAACTCTTCTGCTCTTCCTGAGTGATTTTTTTTTTTTTTGCAGGTATTTTCAATAAAAAAGGGCTACTCTGTTAATCCATACCTCAAAAACAGCCTGGAGGGCTGGAGGGGAAGGAGGAATATTACAAGATAATCAAGTAAAGTGGGATGTTGTAAAATGAAAACTGTACAGCATATAAGCACAACAGAAGGTGTTTGAGTTGATGATGTTAGAAAAGAAAATGTGATATCCCCAGATAAAAGTGTGACTCAGTGTGGAAAACTTGTCTTAAATATGTATTTGGGGGAATGGTTGGGGATGGTTAAAGGTGAAAGCTTCCCCAAGACTGAGCTCCTGAGCCCAGTGAGTTGGTGCCTCTGGGGAAAGCACAGCCAAGTTAGCTGATCAACGTGTCACATTCCTTCCTTTCACTAAGCCAGAGTTCTCCGGAGTTACCTCCAAAGTGCCCCTATTCACAGTCCTGCAGTGTTACAGCCTGGAGAGCACTCAGCCTCCTAGCTGGGATGGGCACAGCTGGGAAGTACAAATGCTTGGGTCCTCCACTGGTTCCAAGACCTCCACAGGCTTCATACCCACCCTTCATCTCCAAGGCACTGTGTAGCAATGGCTCCCCACTTTTCTCTCTAAAGAACACATATGTGGAAAAAAATCCTAGAACTTAAGCAGTGCAACTTCAAAAACAAGTGCAGGGAGCTGGGGATGTCTGTCTCCAGAGGATACATGATGGACATGGCTAGAGTCAAGTAGGCTCTGTCGTGACTGTTAATTAGTATTCACTGAAGGTTTACCTCGTGTGGTGCACCATGGGGTACACAGAGGTATCGGAATCCACCCCTGTTCTCTGGAGGCTGAAACCCAAGCAGAAGAGCGAAGATATATACACCTGAAAAACTAACAGCCACTAGGTATTTTAGTGAAATTTTTTGGAGTTTCTTATTACGTTTCTCTGCAAAGATGTCTTGGAAGTTTCTTGTAGGGATATGGTAACTGCCTAGTTCTGAGTGTTCTGACTTTTTCTTCTTAAAAAAACATATAGGAACTATAATTGTCAGTGAAAATAGGAATGGAGAAAAACCTATGAACTCCAACTTATGTATTTTTGGCCCAAACCACCCCCATCCAACAGAACCAGTATGGGAAGCTACAAGTGGGAGACTGGCATGGTGGCCACAGTGGGGCTGGATCAGAGAATATACAGGAGTTCTAGTGATGGCAAATTCCAAGTCTTTAGCAAATATTAGCCCTCAAATGCCTGAGAAAGTCTCACCTTGAGAGGGAATGGCTATAAATAGGATGGAGAACAAATGTGGGGGAACATGTGTGTTGGGGAAACATAGAAGGCATGGAAAGTGCATGGGGGCCCCCAAATGGAAAGGTTTAAGAAAGCACCACTTGTAAAAGAAAAGAGACCACCTGGGAAGGCAAATGACAATACCCCTTGATAGCAATGTGCTGTGGATTGAATGTCCCCCAGAACTCATTGAGGCTTGGTCCCCACTGTGACAGTGTTAAGAGGGTGGTATTTGCAAATAAGTAAACATTTGAAGGCCATACGATAAACTAATAGATCTTCAGGGATGAGGGTGGATTAGGAAATGGGGCGGGTGGAGTGGCTAAGGTATGAGCAATAACTCTGTGTGACTTTCTAGGTGATTTTGCCCGCGCCAGATGCAACTATCCCAGAATCGTAAGCCAAATAAACCTCTTTTCCTTACAAGTTACCCAGTCTCAGGTGTTTCTGTTATAGCGACACAAAACGGACTAAAACAACAACCTAACGGAAACAGAAGAAAAGGATAAAAACAACCAGTTCACAGAAAAAGAAATACAAGTAGTTAATGATGTTAGGAACAACGATTGATTTCACTCATAATTAAGAAATGCAAACAAAAAAATTGGACACAGTTTATTTCACTTATCGGATTGGCAAAGATCAAAAAATTTGACCACACCTAGTGTTGATGAGATTGTGGGGAAAATGGATGTTATCTGCCACGTTTGGGGGGAGTGGAAATCAGTGCAGACTCTTTGCAGGATAATTTGGCAATGGCTGACAAAATTCAAAATGCGTATAACATTTAGACCCAGCAATTCCATGTGCAGGCATTCCTCCTTAATTAATTTGCATAAGTAGGACAATGAATTATGTATAACAACGTTCATTCCAAATTTCTGGTAAATCCCAATGTTGGAAATATACTAACTGTCCACGAATAACTTCATAAGTCACGGGGAACAATGCAGTAGAGTACTGTGCAGCTGAGAAAAAGGAATGAAGTGGGTCAATGTGTGAAGACGTGGAAAGATACCTTGTTTAGTGAATAAAAGCAAAGTGCAGAATAGAATATAGCATGGCTCTGTTTATGTAAAAAAAGAGGATATGTAAAAAAAAAATTTATGGTTTGCCTATAACATTTCTGGAAAAATTTCTGAAACTTTCTTCATGGCTTCGTCCTAATGTCTGATTCCTGGGCTTCCTTGTGTTTTCCTTGTTGGTTTCTATTCCTCCTCTCTGTCCAGCTTGAAGTCCATAGTCCCTCAATACAACGTCTCCCACCAGAGCCCTCATTCCCTCCCCCTCAGCATTCTCTCATAATCACTGCAATAAATCCCAATATTGGATGAATTCAGCTGTTTGTTTTCTTCATTTCTGCCCCAAGATTGCACAGTTATGTGGATTGATGCCATCACTTCTTTCTGTTTTTGTTATTTTCAGTCTTAACTGGGTGCTCATTGTTGCTTGTCAATTTTTTCTTTTATCCTACAGTTTTTTCCTACATCATTCCTCAAAGCAAATATTTCAATTTTTACTCCATTATTTAAGCTCCACGCCCGTCACTGTCCTTACATTCTCAGCAGGTAACAGTACTGAGAAAAAAGGCCAAGAATGAACTCTTTAAACTCCTGTCTAGAACAACTTTAAAATAATCTGTTTCAGGGATCAACAAGCTATACAGCCGTTGTGTTAAATCCAGCCATGGCCATGAGCTAAAAACAGTTTTTACATTTTTAAAGGGCTGTAAAAACAAACAATAATATGCGGCAGACTGTGTGCGTCCTGCAAAGCCTCAAATATTTCTTGTCTGGCCCTTTATAGAAAGAGTTTGCTGAGCTCTGACCTAGACCATCACTCATTGCCGACTCCTTTCCCAATTCAGAGGAGCCCCACTCTCTCCAAGGCTGATCTGCAAACCTATGATCTATCCAATCTCCTTCTGCCTCTTCCAGAATCCCTCTCCTCTGTGTCTTCTCTTTCTCCTCTGACCCCTCATGAGCTGAAGGACTGTGTAGTTCCGTTTTCTAGGACAGATTGAGCCAATCAGGCAGTTCCTCTTGGCCCTGAATGAGAAAGTTCAGTCTCATTCCTCTTGGATGTGAGTGCATTTTGGTGAACATGAGACTATTTGACACTGTTTCCAAGATGGATTGATAACATAATTTGTAATATAAAAGAATTTGAGGCTCTGAGGGCCCAGCAAATACCTAACAAATATGTATGGACCCAGACTGAACAGAGGTGGGGGACAACACATCTTATATTGTGATTTATGCTGTTTTTTCTGTCATTATTTTTCTAACTTCCAAAGCCAACACAGCTTACAAACAATGCTATTTTCTTCCTTGGTTTTCATGTCCAGTCAGGAATAGAGAAATAAGATGTGAATCAGGAGATGCATTTCGTGAAAGCCAAGGAAGAAAAGTTGTGGAAAGGAATGGTGAAGAATGCCAGTGCAACGGAGAGACAAGGTAAGGATCAAACAGTTTCCTGATTTTGATGATCGGTATGGAAACTGACACCTTCTGGAATAGCAGCTTCAAAGTATTAATGATGATAGCATTTGATTGGGAAGTGTGTTAGGGGTTTCCAAGACCACCCCCAGGTTCAATGATTTGCTAGAAGGACTCATAAAGTCATACTCATGGCTATAATTTATTACAGTGAAAGGACAAAAAGCACAATTCACAAAGGTAAAGGTGCAGGAGGTGAAGTCTGCAGGAACAAGGCACAGGTTTACAGTGCTCCACCAGGAGAGTCACACAGAGCATGCTGAATTCTCCCAGCAACAAGTTGTAACAACACATGTGAAATGTTATCTACCAAGGAAGTTCTTAGAGACTAAATGTCTGAGGTTTTTTTTGGGAGCTGGGCATGACGGCATCCTCTGCCTCCCATGTACCAATATTCCAGACTTCTAGGAGGAAGCAGGTGTTCAGTATAAACCACATTGTTTGTATAGGCAATTTAGGCACAGTGAGCCACTGGCTCTAACTGTTAACAGATAGGTTCTTAGAGACTAAATGTCTGAGGTTTTTTTTTGGGAGCTGGGCATGACGGCATCCTCTGCCTCCCATGTACCAATATTCCAGACTTCTAGGAGGAAGCAGGTGTTCAGTATAAACTACATTGTTTGTATAGGCAATTTAGGCACAGTGAGCCACTGGCTCTAACTGTTAACAGATAGGGTGGTGGGAACACTTCCGAAATCCAAGTTTTAAGATGCCAGTCATGGGCCAACCTTGTATGCAGGCCTTCCAAGGGATAGTACTCAGGCTTGCTATGTTAACTCTTTTCTGCACGGGAGGGTTGAGGAGTAAGCATGGCTACCTTAGTTATTTTAGCTTAAAATTAAAACAGGCTAGTAGTTCATGACTCAACTCCCCCATCTTCTCACCCAAATTCCTACAAATAATCATAAAAGGATAGGCATGACGCCAATGACAGCATGGATTGATCTTGGATTTATTGTCAGGATTTATTGGAAGAATTTTTTTCTACAGGGCCTATAGAATTAGTCAAAGAAAAAAAATTAAAATGAAATCCACAAAGATTAGAAATTGAGTTGAGCACCCTTATATACACTTAATGGGAATGTAAATTGGCATAAGCTTTCTGGAAAACATTTTAACAATATGCATTAATAGGCTTCAAAATATTCACATCTTTTGAGCCAGGAGTTGAATTTCTAGGAATTTATTCTAAATAAATAACCAGAGATGAGGTTAAATATTTACATACAAGAATGATTGTTCCAGATTATTTATAATAGTAAAATAAAAGAGTAATTCTACATTGCTTCCCCCCAAATTGGAATAATTTAACAAAGTATAGTATATTCATAGGCTAGAATATCACATATACATTAAGAATGTAATTTTTAATGTACTATTTGGAAGAAGTAAAAATACGTAAGTAAAGAAGGCTGGAGTAGTCCTGCATCTGATAACATTGCAGATAAAATATTTGGACTGATTCTTCCTCCAAAAACAATAGAAATGATAAAATATATTATGAAATCTAAAAGTATCAAATAACAAAATAGTACCATATTAT